ATCCTCAATATAATGGGTTTACTTCACTAATCAATAAATTAAAAACAAAACAATTGTTAAATATGAATGTAAATTATCATGATGAAAGATTTTAAACGGCTCACTGCCCATTTTGGGACAATAGTGGTGCATGTAGAGAGGGTGCGCCGGGAACTGCAGGGTTGGCGGTTCGAATCCCGGCTGCTCCAGGGCCCATGTCGAAGTGTCCCTGAGCAAGTGGAGTTTGATTTTCGAACTCAATCTAGGTTTGAATGCTTTTACACCTGCACTGTATAAACACACACATACACTTGGTGGCGCATGGAGTAGAGAGGGTGCGCCGGGTCCCATAATAAAGTGTCCCTAAGCAAGACACCCAACCCCAAATTGCTCCCTGGGCAAAATGTTAAAAAAAACATGATAAAATAATAAGATAAAAATGCTATCTTTTTTATCTAAGTTGCTTTGGATAAAAGCGTCAGCTAAAAGACATGTAATGTAATGATATTCACATAGCTTCAGTGAATGTCATAGGTCAACACCACCATCTGCTGGAGAAACACACTCTTGACTTAACTTAAACTCTCAATAATAAACTCTAAAAACAAGTGAAGCTACTAAAAACTTTTTTCAGTACAGACTGAACAGTTTCCATCCATCTAGTTTGTGGATCTATTTAGGTATATTTACTTTGCATTTACTGCATTTTCATGTACTCCAATTTTGAGGCCTTGTTCTTGACTATTTCTACTTCATGCTACTTCAGGAATAAGGAATCAGCAACATTTATTGCCAAAATATGTTAGACATACAAAGAATTTGACATGGCGGTTGGTAAATAACAGTGGGACAATGGACAACAAGACAAATAACATAATGCAAGAAAAATGGCGTGCTCAATTTACAATTTCAATCTACAGTACTTGCTACCGCTTTAATGAACACAGGGATATTCAATTATGATTATTACTATTATAGATTAAACTTCTAGCTTTACCTTCACCAGCTGCAACATTATCAACACCAATCAATAATGATAAGCAATTAATATAATACATATATTTTATTCTGCACATTTAATCCTTCTACTTTTGCTAGCCTGCTAGTACTTGTGCAGGATTGTTACTTGAAACAGATCATTTTATACCATTTTATTTCTACTTTTTTAAGTTCATAAATGTGGAATTTATGAATAAAAAGGGAATGATATTATTGTTTCTAAACACTAGAGCAATATATCAATGCATATATCACTTGTTGGCTAAATTCTGGCTGATTGCTGTCGTTGAAGAGAGACGTTACTTGACAGGAAAAGGGGAAGGAAGGGGTAGATTCACTCTGAGAAAATAATTGTTGGATTTACTTAACTAAGTTATGTTAACCGGTTGCACACAACTGTGTTGTTTAAATAGGAAAAGCAATGTACTATTAATCTGAACAATATGTATTAAGTAGGGTTGCAACAATGAATCGATGAAATCGATAAAATTCAAGAAAAAAAAGCTTTGGCAACTAAGTTCATTATCGATTCGTTGTGTCACGCGATTATTAGTTCACTCAATGAGTTAAGTAAAATAAATAAATCGTTATGTAAAATAAATAAAAGCGCCGAGCCGACGTAGAGGAAAGAGCAGCCAGCAGAGCCGGCAGGTGTTGTGAGTCACATGCCGCAGGCAGAGACGTCTGTTCGACTAGTCGTCCAAGGTGTGCAAGCAGAGGGGTGGACGCTACGGCCGACGGGGAGGTTGAAGAGGAACCAAAGTCAGATTTTCTTTTTAGCGTTAGAAATTGGATGTGTGGCGAGAGTGCGTTACTAAAGACCGAAATGAGTGACTGTCACGCTCATTGGTGACATGTGAGAGCCCTGAAAGTGTGTCAATGGCAAAATATGGAAAGTCGACGTAACATGGCACGGGAGCACCACGTTGTCCCGTTTTGACGTGAGTAACGTAACGAGCCTGCAGCAGCGCTGCGGTTTACTCGTCATCCAGAGTCTTTTATTTCATAATGCCGTTTTACATTTCCAGAGACTTTTATTTCATAATGCCGTTTTTCATTTCCAGAGACTTATTTCATAAGGGCGTATGTCCAATACTCGACAAGATCTGCTGCTTAAAATGATGGACATGTCTCAAGAGCAGTATGACGAGGCCATGAAATTATTTTTTTATGGATACCGGCCCATGTATCCGAGGAAATGGAAAGGTCAAACAAGCACCAAAGGAAAACAGAGTACAAATAGATATGGGAACAACAATGGGACCAAGAGACGAGGGGGGGCACTTGCATTCGATTCAGAGTAAACTAAGCAATGTAAAATTCAGGGGAGGAAACCGGTGAAAAGAAATTACAATGTCAAGATTAAGAATAAATCATAGCAATCTACGCAGCACATTTGACACACTTGACCAGGAAGCATCCAACCGGCCTCTGTGAACACTGCCAGACATCAAAAACTGTACAACATGTTATCACTGCCTGTACTAGATACAACTCAGAAAGGAAAGCCATGCTGGAAGAAATGGAAACACAAGGGATGAAAGGAAGAGGGCTAAACCGTGTACTAGAGTGGGGGTCTAGTAAGCTGGGAAGAAGGTGCTCTACACCCTTTTTGCGAACAACACGGCTGTGTACAGAATGAAAAGTAGAGCCATACAAAATAAAATGAATTGAATTGAATGGGGAAAGTATAATAGTTGGAAACCAGAAGATGGCGGTAATGCAACAACCACACTACTCCACTCCTCTGCTGTCTTCACTGGCTACCAGTGGCTGCCCGCATCCAGTTCAATACATTGGTGCTCACTACTATGCTGTGAATGGATCGGGTCCAGCTTACATCCAGGACATGGTCAAACCCTACATCCCAACCCGCACTCTCCGATCTGCATCTGCAAAACTGCTTGTTCCTCCCTCACTGAGAGCAAAACACTCGACTAGATCACGACTCTTTGCTGTCCTTGCTCCGACTAACAAATTGTAGCACTTATCTATAGCAAATTGTAAATTGACTTACTTGATGAAATTGCACTTTCTTGTTTCTTGCTCTTCTGAGTTTGTATCCCTATGGTTGAATGCACTTATTGTCGCTTTGGATAAAAGTGTCAGCTAAATGACATGTAATATTATGTAATGTAACAAAAAGGATGCAAGCCGCCGTTACACACCACAGAAGAAGGAAGGGGAAGAAGTATGATACCTTAAGGACAGCCCGTGACCTTACAATTTGTACAAAAAAAGGTTTTTCATACAATGCCACGCCATAACTCTGGTAAAAGAAATTGGTGTACGAGGACACTTTTTTGAATGGAAAATTGTACCATGACATCTTTACAGCTTACTAAATGTTGGAAAAACTGTCAAGTCATGATCAGAAGGGGGTTTAGACAACACAGCAAGACTACGTCTGTATGGTTTGTACAATTGTACAAGTCATGTATGACATGTCAGCTGAGATAAGATGACCGCTCAGAATATCAAATCTTTGTGTCGGGACAGAGGATGTCGCACGTGTACAGACTGTAAAGACCTTTGAGGCAAATTTGTAATTTGCGATTTTGAGCTGTACAAAATAAAATGAATTGAAACAAGTTGTTGTAATCCAAAAAATAATTAATTAATTATGTTGAGACCCAAGCCTCTACTTTGACATCATGTATATGTCTCTGCTTTTCGTAATTACGGCTCTATTGCAAGTTTTCAAAAACGTGTACCTTCTTTCACCAGATTTGTATTGGTGTCTGTGGAGCTTAAGACAGACTGCTCTAGGGGATCTCTGGCCAAAAGTAAACCGCTGTGGGATTCCATAGCCACATGAGTGCGTGTGTTACTTCCATCTCAACATCTAACTTTAGAGGCCGTGGTTTGCAAACATCCTAGCTAAATGTGGGATTGTAAGATTGTTGGCACTTCAAACGCAGCTGTTAAATGATGGAGAGAGCACGAGGACAGCAGGAAGAGTCACTAGTTCAACATGTTCCACCTGTTGGAATTGTACCTCCAAGATGATCAAATGTGTGTAGTTTTGTTTTTAAATAACATTAACAATAAAACAACAGTGTCTAAAATACATGTTTTCTAAAGTGATTACTCATTACTTTTAAGATTTAGTCTCTAGAAGAAAAACAAACATTCATTAAAAACAACATTGTAAAAACAACTACAACATCGCCATTTATCGAGATTGATGAATTTCAAAATGTGCAATTATTTAATTTTTTAAAAATCTATTTACAGCCCTATTTAAAACCATTTTGCCAGATATGTCACTTATTTAAATAGTTTTCTTACACAAATATGATTCCAATAAATAAAGTAAAATATTGAGTGGATGATTTAAACTTTACACAAAAGCTTACTGATATTGAGAGAAATTGAAGATGTGTTAAGACTGTACTAGCTGTTTTTCTTCTCCGTGAAAAGAACTCATGTTTCAAGCTCATGTATCTCTCATCTTCTATGGATGTTAAAATATAGTAATTTAACAAGCTAAAATAAAGGTCATTCTAATAATTATACTATAAGTTAAACTATTTTACCTATGCAAAAGGTTAATAAGTGTTCACGGAGATTGTTCTGTCTATGAACATATGCATATGTCCATATCTATGTGTATACACATTCCTATAGACATACCCATACACACATATGAACACCGATAAACATAGATATACTATTAGCGTACATATATACACATACGTAGATACTTATACACACATACACAGATTACGAATCACTATATATATAGAATTTGGCTTTCACTGACTTCAGAGAGGTTGAAATGTTTTTTAGGAAGGGTGGATCCTTTTAGTATAATACAACTATGAAGGGATCTCTCTATGCAAATATGAACGATTCATGATTGGAAATTAGTAATAGTGGCAAAAAATGTGATTAGGGTTTTTTCTGACATTCATTGTTACTACATCACCTTTGTTCATTATTACAAAACATGACTGTTGAAAGTTTCTTGTTGCATACGATAATATAAATGTATTAATGTAACAAAATCAGAGACAAAATGCATCATGCAGACTTTTATTTATGAATAGTCTGCAGTACTGTACAATAGCACAAACATGTCCCTATTTCTGATCATTGTCACTGCCAATGATCAGTTAAAATATAGACAAATATTGTGCCTCCAAAAACATTTCCCTTTTTACAATAATCTAAAAATACCATGTTCTGTTTTAAATATGTAGCATAACCTTTTGAAAATAAAATATACATTATATGAAATATAACAGTTGTTTATTAGAGTCTACATAGTACCAAATGCAATTATATGCTAATAACACCTTCTCTCTGATTTCTAATGCATTTGAATTCTTTGCATGCACATAAGAAAAAGAAAAAAAGATGCAACGCGCATACAAAAGAAGCTGTACATACTTCAGTATGAAAATAGAAGATATCAAAGCAAGATATGCACCAATAGTCTATATCATGGTACAAAGAACTTGCAGTACAAAAAAAAGTACGAGAACGGTCGTAACACATTACCTGGAACACAGAGTACACAGGGTACTGGCTTGGCAACAGGACAAAGACAAAAACCTTGCACACAGATTAAACTCCAGTAGAGCTACTGCTACGCACGTCTACAACCAGATCCAACAACAAATACTGGATCAGCGTGACAGGGTCAAACAAGCAGATCCAGAAGTTACAGTTTTACCTTTGAGTTTTGGTATTACACCCAGTAAATGTAGATGTCCAATGCATAGCGTAATGTTTGGTTTGGTATGTTTTTAGATTTCTTGTATTGCTACCCCGTAAGTGAGGCGAGTGTAAAACAAATGGCCCGTTATGCCCACAACACACAAAAGCACTGATAAAGTATTGGAACTGATACTCTCACTAGTATTCCAACAGAAATGTTCTGTAAAGCATTCATATTTTGCTTCTTCGGCTAGACGCTAATAATACCATTGTTATTATTGCCAAAACAACTTTAAATGTTTTCTTCAAGGTAACACAAATCCCCGCAGTCTAGTTTAAACGACGTATGACACACAGATAAAGTTCTCCACTGAAACAGTGTGTACAAGGCACACTGCAATCAATATAGCTACATCTATTGTTTCCTGCACACACAAAAAATCACATCTGAAATCATTGTGAACAAATCAAAACTCCACGGCTAAGTATAGACTTCTGCTGAGGCCACAAAATATATTTTTTTGTTCTTCAACAGTGTTAAGGACGAACGATTGACACTTAAATGCACAATTTCCACTACTGATGCGGAGACTGGCAGTGCGAAGAACGGGATGAGTGTAATCTAATCTAATCTAATCTAATTTAAATGAGATCAGCTACTTGTTACACAAATCATGTCACAAATGTCCCGTGTACGACCACTATATTGCTCTTATATAAAACCATTCAAGGACCACAGTGTTTCTCATTGCAATGCTCTTTGAGTACATTCTCTATAACAGAAATATTATAATAATGAATAGGGGCTTTAATTAGTAATAATACACCCAAAGACTACACTTAAAAATAAACCTAGTCTTTTCTTGACATGGATAAGAAAATATACAATTTTTTCAGCAATTAAATTACTTAAATTGATTATTATATTCTTATTAAAATCTAATAACTCTGTCTTATTTACATTTGGTGTAGATTAATACTGATTGTAATGCAATACTGTTCTCTTCTTGTTTTGATTTATCCTCTTACATTTTCTGAGCAGAAGCACTTTTACATTCATTTTCATTACCCGGGCTCGAGAAGGAGACCAAGTGCAAATGGGAATAATGACATGCATTTTTCCAAAAGCGAAGCGAAGGTGACGCAATTTCAAATGCAGGAAGTCAACTTGGTGGAAAGTTGAAAGGTTGAAAAGCCCAGGACAATTGGCACCGGCGGTGCTATTATTTTGCTGTAGAAATGCTCTCGCAACACCAGGACAGTCTGTTATTTGAAAAGTGATGCGTAACAATATTGAAGTGATGACGGCTGACTAAGCCACAAGGTGAGATGAAAGCCTTTGTTGTTAGAAAAAGCTGTTAACTTGATAAAGACAGATTTCCACAGCGCCAAAGGCAGTGTAAGAGGTTACACTCTTTCAACTTGACTGGGGTCGTAGGATTCTGAATAGAAAAGAGAAGAAAGAAAAGGTAAGAAAACACAATCAAAACAAGTCAAAGCGATATCATTGGCCTTTAGAAAATGGGATATTAGAGGTACCTTTTGACATTTAACTTGTTAGAACTCAAGAATGCACTTTTTGCTCAACTGGCTGACTACTACTCACTTTCGAACCACTTCTGTATACTTGGTTTTCACACCTAATGTGCACCATAACCGAGTGCACATGAAAAATATTTGAGGCAACTTTTCAACTCACAAATGTATTGTTTAACGGATATTCTGGATGGACTGACAGACATGCTAAAGGTGGTGTGTGTACAGAATAATCTACCTCTAGAATTCCCATGTTTACACTGCTAACACCCATACATTATACTAATGATTCTGCTTCTCTTTGAAGGCAAAATAAAAGAACAAATGGTTAATCTTTTAGTTCATTCGTACTCACCTGATACAGAGAGGATCTCCTCATCCCCCTTGTTCGAGGGCCCACAGGTCCCGGTGCTGTAGCTGAGAGGCAGTGTTATTTCTCTCTTGGGAACACTGCGAGGTTTAGGAAAAAGAGCAGGTTTCTGCAGCTTGGTGCGCTGCTTTGGTTTGGGCAATTTCTGTGCCACAGCATCTTCGGTTGCCTTACTGACCTCTGATGTATTCTGTCCATCTCTCACTGTCTCCAAAGACCTTACTTTGTCGTGCTCTACAGTTTTAGGCTCAACTTCACTGTTTGACTCTGCTGTTTTTAATTCAACGTCTACTTTATTACTCTCTTCATTTCCAGCTTTTAGTGCAATCTCAACTTTAATCTCTTCCGCCCTCTCTTCTCCTCTTTGCTCTTCCTCACATATTGCTTCATTCGCCTCTCCTTTAGATTTACAATCATCTTTAGGATCTCCCAACTTGTCATGTGTTTCATGTGCAGTCTCATGCTCAACTGGGTTCTCCTCCCCCTTCCTTCGTTCTTCTGTTTTTTTATCATTTTCCTCAAACCGTTGCTCGAGAACTTCCTCCCTTGTGACTTCCTGAGGTTCACCCTCCTGTCTGTCACCATCCCTCTCCTCGGAATCAACTTCTCCTCTGAAGTCTGAACCTTTGAGGCTGAGGCGTCTTATTCGAGACACTGAATCCAGCTCTTTCAGACGGGCTATTCTGTCTGGGATTGACTTGCCCAGAGATGTAGCCAATGAAACAGCAGAAGAGGTTAGCATATCTTGCAAGGATTCGATTAGTTTGCATGCTCCACCTCGCCCCCTCCTCTGCACACTGCACAGACTTAGTGCTAACTTGTCATCAGGTGCGATGGGCAGGGATAGGGGAAGCGTATGAGGTGGAACCTCGGGCAGGTCGGCGACCACCCCAAGAGACTGAATCTCAGTGCCTTCACCATTGCTGTGGTTGGTGTTGTGCTTTTGTCTATCTCCTTTCACGTGGTCTACTGATTCTGTCCCCTTCTCTGTCTGTGCTCCGAAAACAATTGAGGATTCAGCTTCGACTTGCTCACACTCTTCTATCACCGGCTGTGTCTCTTCGCCTTTGCTGTGTAGTTTCTCAACTACATAGGTATCCATATCATCTTGGTTTTCAGCCACACCCAATGAATCCACTGGAACAGCTATACCCAGGATTCTGGCAGCCCTCTGCTCGATTGACTCATTTTCAGGGATACCTTTTGCATATTTGACCTCATACAGGTTGCTGAGGTCCTCTGTCGGTAAAGAACTGGCTTTCTCCCGAATCAGTAAGTTCGCCAGGTGCTTATCTGCCATGGTAGAGTCTTTCTTGTAAATTAGAGGCTCAGAGATGGCATATCTCCCATTGCCATCATCCCCCTGTAACACAAAAGAAACCTCCCTGGTCAGCCTGGTGATATGTGATGATCCCTCTTTCTGAGGTGATCTGCTGCTTTCACTCCTAGTTCTACAAATGGTTAAATTCACCTCACCCCTGAATGGTGGAAAATTGTTTGATTTAAGCATTCTCTCAGTTTCTGCCTCAGCTTGAAATTCTTTATTTGAATTATGCTCGGGGCTACCACTATTTTTAACAAGTGTTGTCCTGCTCTCCCATGATTGCTGCACTGACTCACTACACTCCTTATGATCAAGTGGAGATGGGACTGAGAGAGACCGCTGCATTGGTTCTCCAGGGCCACCAGGAGTCTCTGTGTAGACAGTTAACCCCACATCCTTCAGAAGAGACTCCTGAGGGACTGGAATGTCCTGCCTATAGAGCCTATTTGGCTCATTCTGTAGAGTTAGTGAAGGCAGGAGACCACAGACTGAGTTGGAAATAACGAATAAGTCATTTGTTGAAGGTATGTTGTTGGCCTGTGGTTTGGAGAAAGCACTCTTAATGTCCATTGAGCCTAAATCAGAGGTAGAAGCTAAGGACGTGGATCTGACTTTTAAAGTGTTAGGGTTTTCTATGTGCATTGGTGGACGACTGATTGCTTCCCTGCATGGTTTTAGACTAGCAGTGAAATGAGCTGCTGACTGAAACCGGTCTGATCTCTTCTTTGCCACATGTAAATCGTCTATGCACTGACCCACATTGGGTCTTTTGCTGATTGTGTCTTCCATCTCCTTATTGATGGTCTCTAGTTCACCAATAGCATCACAGGGTCGGCGGTTCACTGGCTTTAAAAGAAATTGACCAAAGGTCACTTGCTCAGCAGTTTCAGCAGGATTGGAGTTACTCTTCCTGGGACACGATGGTTGCTCTGCTTGATTCCAGGCATTTTCTTCCCAGTAGTCTTGTTGGCTGGTTTCGAGGCTGAGACGGGAGAATGCGCTGTTGCTGGAGGGATGAAGGTTTTTCTGGCCTGCCATGGGGTAACCATAGGAAGAGCTTTTTGCTGGCCCAACAACACTATCTATGTTTGCTTCTGAGAGAGATTGAACAGGCTCTTGTCCCCAAGGAGGACTCTGGGATTCTGGACTTTTCACCTCTGTTGAAGGTGAGCCCGTCTGGGTTTCCTGGTTACGGTACTGGTTTCCAGGCCAAGACCCGGCATAGCGCAACTCTTTATCTTGCCTTGCTTGAAGTGCCCAGGCATCGATTATCTCCTTCCTTAGAGGAGCCCTCTTGTAGTTCCTCATTGAGGATGTGTTGCTGGTGTACAAATTTGAGTAATGGGGTTTTATGGGCATCTCATTCACCGACTTGCTCCGCACGTTGTGGCTCTCTTTGAGGCCTACAGCAAAAGTGTCTGTGTTGGTGACGGTCAGACTTGGTATTGTCTCATTGTTGTTCTGATCTGCTGCTACGTCTTTGCTGATGTTGATTGGTGTGTGAACAGGGACAGATACAAGGCAGAATATGGTCTCACTCACTCTTCTTTTAGTGTTCTCTGGCCCTGAATCTGGGACAATTTTCTTCACTTGGGTGATGGTTTCTGCAAAGACTTTATCTGAGTTGGACCCCTGACGAGAACAACTTATTGATAATGGGGCTTGGAAGGCCGAAGAGGGAGATGAAGAGGGACGTTGTTTTTTGGGATATCTGTTGCAATTTTGGTCAGTTGCTGGGAAGTTATCGACAGCCTTGTGCAAATCACTGTGCCACCTGGTATTGTCATTGTCGAAGTCGCTAGAAGACGTCTGGTTAGTATCATCGGCCAATTTGGCAGCGATGAAAGGCCCCAATGGTGGGGGCAAAAAGGCACTGTCACTGGATGCAGGCTTCGACACTGTGACACTGGGAAGCTCATTACGGATGTGCCGGATCTTGTCAGCGTCCGTCAGAGAGTTGCCTGCCAAGGCTGAGGAAATATGGCGGATACGGGGGTCATCAAAGGGGATGTATTGAATCCCTCCACCTGGGCGCTCCTGGGTAGTGTACACCGGGTAAAGCTGCTTCATGCTCCTTTCTCTCTGGGGATCGGGCCAGGAACCAGCTGGATGTCTGAACCAGTGAGATCCATCTGGAGCCACATGTATCTGCTGGTACAAATCACCTCTGTATCTAAAAGTAAAAACAACACAGTTTAAGTTTATTAGCAACAATAAATCCAAACAAGCCAAAAGGAAATAGCAAGTGTGAAGACTGAAGGTTTAAAAATGGCTGCTGGTATGTTTGGTATATGTGAACAATCTATGCTTTTCACAGCTCTTTCTTAAATTGAAATAAAGATTTATTTTAGTCCCATGTTTACATTGCAGATCATTACAGACGCTTGAAGACGTCTGACCGTACACACTTGGGAATATTCATGAATGGATAAAAAATAAAAACTATGACTAAATCTATTCTAACTTTCATTAATTAGACGAGACGAACATGTTGGTGGTTGACGAAGTCACAATACTTTTTCCCCCTAAATCCGCACGCACGCTTCGGCGAGTTTGAATGTGGCTTTGTTAGTTTAGCTCAGCTGTCTCGGTTTAGCTGACTGTTAGCAGGCTGAAGCCGCGCTGCTTCACAGAAACATGAAGACCCGTTTAACAGACTGTCGGACATTTCTGCTCTGTTCTCTGGCGACGGCAGGCAGCGTTTCCTCGGTGGATGAGACGGTCCGTCACAAACGCGTCTAACGTAATAAACTCATTGCAGGTTCTGAAGCCTCACACACTTCAACTATAGTTCCCACGCACATCGTGAGAAGACGGTGTTAAACCGTCTCGGCCACCGTACGCTCGTTACTAAGCAACATAAAGGCGCCACACACGTGACAGGTGGAGGCTTTTAATAGAAGTGCGCAGTGCAGGTGAAGGATGTGGCGGCACAGAGCAGGTGGAGGAAAACCCGCAGGACACAAGAGAGAAGAACTGGTCATGAAACCAAAAAATAAACAAAGAGACAAAGAGAAAGAAAATACTGTTGAATGAAAAGTAGGGGTCCAGTTTAAAATGGCTGCTTTATGATGCAGCCAAGAAAATAATGTATTGCACCGATTGTAGGACGTTAAGGTCTCTTTTGTTGAGACAGTGGAAACAATAAAGGACCATGAAGTTTCAAAAGCATTGCAAGTAAACAGACAAAGACAACAAAGTGTTGTGTTTAGATCCCTGGTCCTCATGAAGTTGTTACACCTTTGCCAATATGCGATAAAATGACATATCGCACACTCTCTGAAATCGCATGCAATAATTTTTGCTGCTGCGATATTCATTTTACATATAAATGAACATCACCAACATTTAAGTTGCCTCCCTTTTCCTTGTGGACAGCGGGATACAGAACACAGAGCGGACACCGACACGTGAAGAGAAGCAGGGAACCCAACTAAGCTAACTAAGCTAAAATTTTACCTAAAACAACAACCATCTTCCCAGTCTTTCAACCTGACCTACTGTCGGTTCCTCCGGACTGCTTGTTTGCCTCTTTGTGTCACCGTGTGGTTTATTCCCTGTCTTATTTTGTAGTTTCTGCTTCTTGTCTCCCTGGGTAACTTCACTTCCTGCCTTGTCCTGTCATCCCCTAGGATTGTCTGATTGTTTCCACCTGTGTCCAATCACCTGCACCTCCCTAGTGTATTTAAGCCGTGTGTGTCTCTTGTCACTTGCATCATTGTCGAATGTCCTGGATGTCTCTAGTTTCTGCCTGCCTTTTTTCCCTGGTTCCTTTGTGCGTTTTTGCCCTTTTGCTTTTGGTATATTGTAGTGATGGCAAAGTGAAGCTCTCTGAACCAGTGAAGCTTTCCAGCCAATTGTATCGGAAAAAGGTTCATTCATTCAATGCATCGCAAACTCTATCGAGTTATATGTAAGCAATATAATTTAAAATACCAGCAAGTGCTTCCTACTGCATGTGCAGTTCATGGCAGTCATAGGGACTTATGTGAATTGTTTGAATCTGGAATGTGGGAAGTGATTTACAGAGGAAAGGTCAGTGGGGCAGGGATTGTGCTTTTGGACAGGTTTGTTATGACAGGATATTGAGGTGCTTGTGGACACATGGGATGGGGCATGAAATTATTATAGATTTTTATTGAGAAACAAATTTCTCCACAGTATACTATTTCGCCCGCCTTAGAAAAAACGCGCTCACACGGCACGGATGAGGCAGGAATGCTCAAATGATTACGTGCTAATTCAAATAGATGTGGGTACACATGTTTGTGTTTGACCCAATATTTTAGCGGTTCTTCACTCCGTGGAATGTTTGGCTCAGCCAAATATCTGGTGGTCTCCACAATAAAAATAAACATCCATAATTCCACAATACAAATTACAGACTTGGCCTGCCTATTGCCAACCTTGTTAGAGGAAATCAAATTGAAGTGCTCCCACATCTCGGAGCGACCTCTCTTTGCCACAGGTTCCATTGTAAATTTGCTATTTTCTACTACTACTCGCAACAAGACTGACTTTGACAAGCCCGAACCCTGTTTCGATCCCATTGAATCAAATCGAAGCGGTCACGTGACTGTGCGCCAGAACGAAGCTTCAGACCTGACTAATCACGTGATCAGCAGCGAACGAACAGCACCGATACATTTACTTTGCCTTGCACTGGTTCATATTTCGACACAAGCTTCGAAGCAGGAGGGTGAGAGGTAACAACACTAGTATATTGACTATTAAAGTATTTTTGTTTTGAAAGTCTGCGTGTGAGTCCTGCCTTCCCCGCATCCCTGACAGAATGAAGCCACCGCAAAGGGACTCAGCGTAAAACAGACTTTATATTCGGTCCCAGGAGCTATCAGCTCGCCTGCCTTGAGCTCCGGGACCTCCTCAACCCCAGGAAAAGGAGCCCTGGCAAGAGAAATCAGCGACCACCCGTCCCCGCTGGGCCGCAGCGACCACCCGTCCCCACTGGTCCGCAGCGACCTTCCGTTCCCGCTGGGCAGCAGCGCGCAGCCCCGACCCCGCCACTACCGGCCCCTCGACTCCGGAGGTGTTCCGTGTCCCCTAGTCGGCCATTCCGGAGGTGTTTCATGTCCCCGAGCCGGCCATTCCGGAGGTGTTCCGTGTCACCGAGCCGGCCATTCCGGAGGTGTTCCGTGTCTCCCAGCAAGCTATGCCGGAGACTTTCAGGGCCCTGCAGTCGGCTGCTGACCGTCTGCCGGCCCCCGGAAGCTCCCTGGTCGTCTGGCCGCCCGCCGGGCCGCCCACCAGAGTTTCCCGGGCGGTCCGACCAACGTCTCTGGTTTCCCTCCCTCCCGCCTCTTGTCCGCTCTCTGCCAGTTTGAGCCGTCTGGAATTCGGCTCAGGGGGGGGGGGGTACTGTCCCGGTGTGGTTTATTTAGCCCTGCCTGTTTGGGTTTATTTCCTGTCTTATTTTATAGTTTCTGCTTATTGTCTCCCTGGGTAACTTCACTTCCTGCCTTGTCCGATTGTTTCCACCTGTGTCCAATCACCTGCACCTCCCTATTGTATTTAAGCCGTGTGTGTCTGTCACTTGTCGCGTCATTGTCGAATGTCCTAGATGTTTCTAGTTTCTGCCTGCCTTTTTTCCCTGGTTCCTGTGTGCCTTTTTGCCCCTTGGCCTTTTGCTTTTGGTATATTGACTATTAAAGTCTTTTTGTTTTGAAAGTCTGCGCGTGAGTCATGCCTTCCCCGCATCCCTGACACTTTGGGCGGGAGGAACGCCGTCCTGCGTTAGCGGGACCGGGCCGCACCGTCTCACCGTGCAGCGCGAAGCCCCGCGTTAAACCTCCCTGGCTGCTGCGGCGCCCGCCTTTCCACTGGACACATTTTCTCGAACACGACTGAATCGCACCAAGCCCGATGTTTCGCCCGCTCGGTGTCCCTTGCACTTACTGTTTTATTCATATAGAATATATTTTTTCACATTCAGATTCTTATGTCTAACTGTTCTGACGAATAAAACGTTCTTTGTTCTTTGAAATAGCGTGCTATTATATTGTCATTATGTTATCAGTGGCATAAAATGGTCGGAAAATTTCAATAATATCGCATATCGCAATAAATGTTGGTGCAATAATCGCACAACCAAAATGTGATATAGTGCCAGCCCTACCAAGGTGCAATTCACAAAAGAAAATGTATAAATGTTGTGGCGAAAACGAGCGCACAAAGTGGAATCATGTACAGCCCTTTTTTGCATCTGATGGCAATTATTCATGTGGCAAAGTATAAATGTGCATGAGGGTAATGGATCGGTTGTAAGGAGTGAAAGTCAGCCTGAGCAAGAGGTCTTGTGTCACGGTGTGGTTCACTTCCTGTTATATTTTGTAATTTTCTGCCACTTGTGTCCCCGGGTAACTTCACTTCCTGCCTTGTCATGTCATCCCCTGTGATCGTCTAATAGTTTCCACCTGTGTCCAATCACCTGCACCTCCCTTGTGTATTTAAGCCGTGTGTCTCTTGTGTCACTTGTCGCGTCATTGTCTTTCGTCGTGGATGTTTCTTGTCAATCTTCCTGGATGTTTCTTGGTCCCTGGCTGTATTTTTGCCACGGTTCCTGTGTGCGTTTTTGCCCCTTGGCCTTTGCTTTTGCCTGTTGACTAATAAAGTCTTTTGTTTTCCTGCAAGTCTGCATTTGAGTCCTGCCTTCCACCCGCACCCCTGACAGTCTTGTCTGTTGCGGCTCACCAACATGTTAATTTGTATTCATTGCTTCCATGTTTATCTTGTTTCTTGTTTCATGTATTTTGAAAAGTGAAGGGAGGCTTTAATTATTCATTCAACATGACACTAAATGTTAATGGTAAATGGACTGTACTTGTATAGCGTTTTTCTAGTCTTTCGACCACTCAAAGCGCTTTAACACTCACACGCATTCATACACTGATAACAGGAGAACCATACACAGTGACTCCTGCCCATCAGTAACTAACATTCACACACTGTAGTCGCAGCTACAGGAGCAACGCTGGGGTTAAGTGTCTTGCCCAAGGACACATCGACATGCGGGTTAGCCAGGCCTGCGATTGAACCGCCAACCCTCTGATTGGAGGACGACCGTGCTCCAGACTCACCCACTACACGAACTGTCACCACATCCGAAAACAAATGGATTTAATGGATAGTCAATAAATGCTTTTCAGATGCCTCAGTCTCTCTGAAGACACTTAGCTATACATGCGTACAGCTATCAGTGATGACGGTTTTTGCATTTGTATGCACTAGGGAAGAGTTCTGCACATTACATACAGTAATCTAAAAACGGTCAATAGTTGGATAATACCCACAGGGAGGACCAAGATGTTATGTGCTTGGTACAAAAGCCAAATCGGTTTGGTATTAAATAGCACAGCTAATATATGTTAACAGGGAGATTATTTTTAAACTTGAGATAAAGAAAATGATGACAAATACCTGTAGTCAACAGCAATTTCGTCATATCCACATCGCCCGTCTCCCATAATAGGAACTCTTTTATATGATGGAGGAGCAATGTATCCTGGGGGTCCAGAGTCCTGTGCAAAATAGTCCAGTTGAGGGTCAACTGTCCTCGATATTGGGAGTGGGGTTCTGTCCCTGGCCTGGAGAATAACTGATTCTCTACCGGACAACATCTCACAGCTTCCCCTGATCTGCTGGTGCATCTCATAAGAGGGAGGTCTGGGGGGTCGTGTGAAGCGAGGCTTTGGTGTCATTGAGAGTTGGTTGGCACTAGCCGGCCTGCCATTCTCCAGCCAGCGGGGTGGCCTATAAAGGTCGTGGTGCGATGGTGGGTGACCGTTGACCCGCCTGAACAGTTCCAGATGGGATGAGTCTATGTCCACATACTGCAGGCTTTCAGGCTGCAACATCCTGGGGAGGGACTGAGATTTGGCTTTGGCCCTGGGATGGACTACCATACCCTCTGGTGTCCTGGCTTGGAGTTGCTCCTGTGCCCAACGCCCACCGTCATACTGTGACAGCTGGCGGCCAAAGTTCATGGCGGGATGCCACTCATCTGTCCCCAAGCTCTGGCACTTCCTCTCATTAGCCATTCTCCAGTGATGTAGAACCGCTTCCCTCTCTCTAGAGCGGACCTGAGCCTGGACATGGGTCTGAGCCTGCACCTGGGCCTGGGCTGCCCAGCGTTGCCTCTCCTGAGCTGCTCTCTGACGCTCCTCTGTAGACAACTCTTGGCCTCTTGCTTGTTGAGCACCCTCCGGCCTGCCGTAACCCTCCTTGCCTCCTCCATAGGTCTTATGGTCAGCGTAGCCCAGCAGCACAGTGAAGTCCTGGCCTCTCCTCCTCCAGTAGGACACATCCTTGGCTTGCGACTGAGGACCTCTGGTGCCATCACAGAACCTTGGAGGAAACACACAAATAAACGCATTGTTATGCTTCAATTAAAGTGATTGTTGGATGGTTGAAAAGTGTCTGAAGCCCCCTGCTCTACACCTTTTCCACATCAGAGCTGGGTTTTTGTTACAATCTTTCTCTTCAAGCTTGTGTTTTGCCATTCTTTACGCAATTACTTCTGCCTTTTTCAGAACAGCTATAAATACATTGAGACATGGTCAGACTATGAGTTGCACATTTTTTGTCATATTTGATTTAGAGATATGCCAAAGCAGTGTTGTGTGATATTCACAGCAGTTATGAGCACTTTAAAATATTAAAGTAATCTAGGGATGAAAACACTCAGATACAGTGTACAGGGTAATTAAATGCCAAGAAATTATGTCCCATTGGTAAGAGGCAAATAACCAATAACAGGACAGATGTAAAAAAGAATTCCCACTAGATGGAGACAGATGTCCATGAATAGCAGTGCAGCGTCTGGTAATTAGGATTTTCCATTGGATTGGACCATAGTGAACACATTACACAATGATACACTGTGGCTGGTAGTCCCGAATGTCCTCCAAGATAGATCAGCAATTTAGAGGACGTTTCAACAGTCTGTGTATTGTATGTTTCTTTTGCTGTTAATCTGAGGAAATGAGCAGCATTTCTCTAAACCAGTGTAAAGCTCCTGCTTCATCTCTGGGAGGATCTTTAACGGCAGACCTGATGGGTTACAACAAGAAGCGATGGGTGTCTGAATATAGTCTTATCGTTTCATGCTATTTGTGGAGTGACTGACGACGCAAAGAAGATGCGAGCACGTGCGTACACCCCCTGAAGGCAGAGGCCACTGAGCGTCCTTGACATTTAAATCCATGATCATCACTGGCCAGAGATGGGGGAAGAGAGGCTAGCCATGCCAATTTGCTGAATTCGAGGGCATCTTATGTAAAATGAGTTACCATAATTATCGTAATTGGGTCCAAGTAGCACTGCCTATTAGGGTGCCAAGATAGGCCCGTTCCTTATCAAAACTAAAGCTGCCATAGAAAATAAATTTGGATGAGTGGAAAAAAATTAGAATGTACAAATCCCACAACATATGCCTAGGGAATTCCCACATTCCCAACAGAATGCTCTGATAGCACTGGCAGAGGAGTGACATGAAAATGCAGATTAATAATCTCATAGAATGAAAGAGAAGAGGGAAAAAATAGCTTATTCAATGTAATTTTACTATTTTAAGATGCTCTGTCACTGGCTGGTGGCCAAAAGGGATTAACAGAGCGGAGGAACAGAAAAAGTCACCCGAACGAAGTCTAATTTGTGTTTGGACATAAGAACTGTATTGTCTCAGTTACCACACACTTAACCCTAGAACTGGTGTAAATACACAAGTTAACCAATCCTATTTTGAGGGAAAAAAAGACTGGAGCCGGGCAATATCTCTGGAAATATTATACAGTCCCTACCCAAGAGGGTTTCAATTGCATAATACCAAACGTGGCTAAATATAGCCTGCCCCCCCCATATACATATTTAAATACACCCTATGTGAATCCTGTATTATTGATAGGGTTTGTATTATGTAAGTAGGTATAGTACTTATAAAACAGTTGAAGTGGGTAAAGCAGGTTTGAGGGCAGAATGGGGAAGGGGGTACCCTGACATATCTAGTAAACAGCAATGGTGTCATGCCGTGCCGATGGGACACAGGTTTTCCCAATAGCTGCTTTGATACAACTCAGAGGTCCCATGTGGCAGATCAAAGCTCCAGCACATACTCTCCCTCTTCTCCTGTCCAAGACTTGATTGGGAAGTGGAGGACGCACGGGAATAGAGCTGAGCTGAACACAAGGGGAAAGACTGAAGCAAGTAACTATAACTATAACTACAGAGGGGGCTGAGCAGCAGTGTTGGGCACTTCCATTTAAGATGGATACATTTTCATGAATCTGCTCAATTGAAGCGTCATGACAATGAACGATTTGTCAGGACAGGGCATGCAAAAGGTTTTGTTCAGACTGGGGCCCATTACTGGTCTAACGGTACAGGACTGATTTGGTCTTACCCGCTGTCTGAGGTCAGCGACTCTCCCAAGGAGTGGGTGTCCATTTGGCACCGGTTCTCGCCCTCCCGCCTGGACTGGCCCCTGTCCCTGGGTCCGTTGTTGTTGTTGGGACAGCCGCTGGCGTACCCTTGTGGCTGCCTGGATTCGCTCCCGTTCCCATAAGACATCCTGGGCCTGTTCTCCAGGAATTCATGGTGTCGGCTGTAGGACGGCGGTGAGGACGAAGGCTGCTGGCGGGACAAGGAGGCGGGGGCCGGGGTAGGGATGGAGGAGGAGGTGGTATGCATGGGCAGCTTGTATCCATGAGAGATGAGGAGGTCCTCCACACTGTACATGGTCGCATTTGTTTATGCCTCCGTATTTTCTTTTTTTCCTCTCTATGCCTTTTTTTGTGAGAGAGAGAGGAAGGTAGGTCGGTTGTCAAGGCGTCTCTTTGTGCAGCGGCAGGATTACCGGCACAGCTGCGCAGCTAAGGCCATCACTGAAAAAAATAGAGATGGGGACAACATGAAGAGAGAGTTTGAAGCAAAACCCAATATACCTTATAAAAGTCCCCAAAACAACAAAATTCTGAGCTGCCTTGACAAAAAAGGTCTTCCTGGCATGCATTTGCAATGTGTGTCTGTGGGTGGAAATAATTCGCGGATCAACACTAAATTAATCTGTTAATTATTGTTCAAGTAATACTGCCAAATAATTTTTTTACTCTCCTGCTCCTCAAATGTTAATTTTGGTTTACGGTAGGCAAATGACAATACCTCAATTAATCAATTAATCATTGATTAAATTAAATACTTCCAATGATTGATAGAGAAAACCCAGTCTAATGCTGAAAGGGTTTTAAATAGGCCTAAAGGTGGAATGATCTCAAACACTGATGAATTCTAATGACCGTCATACATTATGAAGGTAAACAAAAACTACATCTTTGGCTCTCTCCCTCCACAAAAATGACTCTGCTACATAAGTATTGGTATCATGGCCTGACAAAAAAATTGAATTGGTGATACCCAACATCATCTGCTAATGATGTAACTTTGAAGTCATACTTGTTGACAAGACAGTTATGTGCCCCCAGTGGAGAGTATTCAATACTGCATACTGCCAACAACCTGGCTGTGCTTAATGAAAAATGTCACTCAGGAAGAGCAGCGTCATACTCGTCACTGTAATGCGATGCGTACATAGAGTTTAAAAGCCAATCACACAAGAGCATCGTTCAGTGGTACAGCCAGATTGCTCGGTTTTTCTTAAGAGAAAAAGCCTGGCGAAGCAGACTTGTGGAAAAATGAATTCGGCAATGACCAGATTAGCATTTCGTTTTGCTTCTTAGCATTTAGCAGTCCCATATAGATGACAAAATCCATCTATGATGTCTTGAATCAGAGGGCAACATCGATAACCCCACCACCCTCAACCCCTCCTAACTCTATATGCCTCCCTCTCCCTACCTCGTACCTGAACCCAGGGATAGACTACTAGGTGATTAATAGGATCCAAGAGCGTGAAATGCCTCTCTTTGTATGTCTGGCTCTCTAATACGATTATCCTTTTAGCGTAAAACCTTAAACCTGTTAGTTTTGGAGGATTGACTCTTGTCGCTTATCCAGTTAATACTGGTTGACCTTAACTCTTTCCATTTGCGATTTGTCTAATCTCCTCAAAGGAGAGTCTAGCTCCGAGTTTGGTCAAGAAGGTTCTGGTGACCGATGTTCATAAACAAAAAAAAGGGGTGGTGCAGTTTTTCACATTTGTTAAACAAAAAACAGGGTCAGGCACAGTTTTTCAGTTATTTCATGAACTGTAGTTGAACCTTCTGGGCAACAAGCCACCGACCATGGTCAATAACACCAAATAATGTGAAACATGGCAAAATGGAACCAAAGTGTTAATATTCTTGGTATTCTGTCATAACAGACTGTTCAAACACATTTGATGTTTTTTCTCTGAAAACACGTTATTCTATATATTAGAAATAGGCACCAAGTGTCCCTGCAGCATTGGAGAAGCCTGTATCACACTCTGATCAGTCAGATTAGTATCAACACCTTTTTTTCCTGTAGATGAGGTTCATCCTGCCTACCAGCCAAAATGCTGAGTTAGGCCAACTGGGCCTTGGGTCAAGGGCTATGTTCATAATAATTTGCTTTTGTTATGATTGTAGAACATTAACCTGTTTTATCTGCACGTCCATATGCCTTCTAATCTCGCTAAACCCCTTAATCTGAGGCAATTGGTCTTGGGTGTCATCACCCAATGTGGATTATCTCCATCGGTAAAAGCGAGGATTCCCTCCTGTAAAGTGACCTGCCCACATTTAGTCCTCCGGCACGAACGCCCCTACCCTGCACTCCTCCCTTCCCATGGCAAGCCCCGTTTAAATACTGCTAATGCTGTTATGCAATGGAATTACCCATTTTATATCAAATAAATAACGTATGCAACAATGGTTGGCTTTCATCTCCCTCAACACAACAACATTGTGTTTCGCTACAATACTGTCTTGTGTGAAAAAGACTAGCATTACAGGCCCTTTTGATTTGGGGGGGTTGGGGGGCTCATTCAAACAGACAGATTAAAAAAATATAGTTTAACAGAAAAGTATGCTAAATATGAAACCCAGTTTTCCTCTACGAGACAATCGGTTTTGGGGTAAACTTCTGTCATGGTTACTGCTTGTTTGTTAAAAACAGGTATAAGATTCTTTTTTTTTATGATGCACAAGGAGGCTGCGGAGAGTAGGCAGTGTCTCAAACGGGTAGGCAGGTCCAGGACTGAAACCCAGAGTTTGATAAAAACGCTACTTTTAATAAATCAAAAAATCAAAATTCAAAAACACCAGGGGGGGGCGCAGACATGGACGGGGACCAGGAACTCACGAAACACAGGAACAGGATTCATGGGAAGACATGAAGACTTACATTCAAAACTTGGAGACTTCCATTCAATGACGCAACAAAGGACAAATACACTGGGAAGGTGCAGGTGATTGGACATGGCAGACAATCACAGGGGATGACAGGACAAGGCAGGAAGTGAAGTTAACCCAGGGACACAAGAGGCAGGAAACTACAAAGTAAAACAGGAAATAAACCCAAACAGGCAGGGCTCCAAACTAACTTCTTGCCAGGTTGTACTGGTGCGCCTTACTTTTTTATTTAGGCGCACCAGCACATTTCAAACAAGAATAAGGTATAGGTAAATGGAAAAAAAAAACTATGGCTACGGCTGTCACGATATCAAAATGTTGTTGTACAAGTATTTAAGCCACTGATAACATAATGACAATATAATAGCATAGTAATAGAAGTACGCTATTTCAAAGAATGGAGAATGTTTTATTTGTCATAGTTAGACATTAGAATTGGAATGTTAAAAAATATATTCTATATGAATAAAACAGTGCAAGGGACACCGAGCGGGCGAAGCATCGGGCTTTTAGTTGGGTTCGAGAAAATGTGTCCAGCGGAAAAGCACGCCGCGGCAGCCGGGGAGGTTTAACCCGGGGCTTTTACCACCGGCAGGGCGACACGCTCCGCGACTGCAGGGAATGACGGAGCGGCCCGGTCCCGATAACAATTGGCCGGCCCGGGAGGAACGCAGGAAAGAGGCGAAGGAACCGACAGTAGTTCAGGTTGAAAGACTGGGCCGATGGTTGCTGTTTTAGGTGAGATTTTAGCTTAGTTAGCTAAGTTGGGTTCACTGCTTCTCTTCACCTTCAAAAGGGACAAAGGCAGCGCGATCAACCTAAATGCTCATTTATATTTAAAATGAATGTCGCAGCACAAAAAATATTGCACGTGATTTCAGAGAGTGTACGATATGTCATTTTATTGCATATTGCGACAGGCCTATCTAGGGATTGGTGTCTTTTCATTGTTCTTCATCTCAGCTCTGACGTAACTGGTTCACTGGTGTTCAGGTCGCAATTTCAATCACACAGCATGGAGCAGTGTAGGCCTACAGGAATATCTGGACCACAGTCAATCAGAGACATCTTAGAAGCATTTTAGTTGCACCCGTACAAATTTGGGTCGCACTCTAGAGCCCTGGTAGGCTGTGCCCTGACTGGCGGCTACACCATCGGCAACAAGCTGCAGAGGCATGACAGTTTGCGGGTTGACAGTTTGGTGTCAGCTTTTTATTCATGGCCCAACTGAGACGAGGGCATGGTGGAGAGGTGTAGATGAAGGGAAACAGAGGGACAGCATGGGTGGCAGACAATGCAGGATGGAGACGTAGCTCGGGCTTCGGGGAGAACCAGAATATCTAGTAAATATTATAAAAATATAACAGATAGCGAGGGCGGGCTACAGATAATGTAAATTAACTTTTTAAATAGTGAGCAGACGTGACAGTCAATGAAAATATAGCATGCAAGTAAAAGAAGATTAAAGAACACTGAAATGTGTGAAAATAGCACATCCCTTCCAAAAGTGCACTAAAGACAAAAACAAGTCTGGAATGAACAGGCCCATAGCAATAAAAAACACCCCAACAAAAGGAATGAGCCTGGAACCATTGAGACTTTCAGTCCAGTCCGCTTCCTAAAAATATTCCACCAGAGCCGCACCTCTCCACCACATTGTTGCCAGTCTCCTTGGATCCACAACAACTGACCTGAGTGGGTGTGCACTTGGCTCGTCTCTAGCCTGCATTTCTTTGGACTGTGCACGCACATGGGACTTCTCAGGGATGACAGCCTATCCCATTCAGCAGACAGCACCACACCGGGGATTGCTTATCTGGGTGACATCACCGTATCCAGCGGAGGAGCTGAAAGTGAGTTGGGGGGCATATCATCTGCAGTAATTTCAGGAAAAGAGGTTAGGGCAACTATGACCAAATATGCAGTGGTTTCAAACGTGAGCTGAAAAACTCTTCAATATGACTGACAAGTGATCATCACCAGCATCCAACACAGCTCATCACCACAGTGACCCCCATGTGCTTCATCGGGCATTGGAGCCCTCATAGAGGAGAGAACAGGGGGGAGTTTATTACACCATACTCCAACACATCCCAGTCTGAATTAAGACTGTCAAAAAGTACTCCAGCCGAATGTTTGTCAAATGCAGCGTTAGTGCTTCAATCCAAATAAAAAATGTCAATAACAACTGGCTCACACAATAGAACGATATAGTTGCTCAATAACGTACAAGGCAAAACTGTGTGCCTTGCCTCTTGCAACCACTGACGAAGCAAGGTTTTTTTATATCAATGGACTCATTTCCCCATTGTATGGCGGGCTTAGCTCAGTTGGGCTGAATACTTAGCAATTTGACGTCATGGGATTTCCTTCAAGTCAATGCATGTGGAGTGGGATTTGGGGCGTTTGCTTTAAAATGCTGCAGCACTTGCCAAAAGTTGAAAAAGACAGAGACCATTTCATTCAGGGAAATGAAGACAAAAGATAACGGAGGGGTTAATAGTCATGGTAATCCACCAAGGCACTGCTCTGCAGCACACTCGGCTTCATCTGCACTGAACTGTTCCAAACCCATGCTGTTTTCTGAGCACGCAAAACTGGCTTCATGGTAATTAGTGTTTGTCAAGGTCTGGGGCTTGCTAGAGATGACAGTGGAATGGTTTATCAGCCAGAAACACAGTGATCAAAGGGTTAGCGCGCTACGGCTTCCTGCTAATCGAATGTATGTATGCCGTATGCCTCTTTTGTCGAAGCATTGTCGAAGGAAAGAGTAATAAACAATCCAACATAGATACATGTTAGCAATCCAAAGCCTTAAGCTTCATTAAGGCCGGTTATGCTCATCTGATGTCTAAAGGCAGCTGACAGGACGTGGCAACAGCAGAACTGTGCTGACACTGACAGTTGACTGTAATGCAGATTATCAAAAAGGGCTCTGCCATGCCATAGAAGTAAAGCATTTTCATGGTGAATGTGGAAAAGGGAATGTGTGGAAATAAATGGTCAGGGTTATCTCAAGGGCTTACGTCTCACACGGGCAGTTCGACACATGGGCATCAACCGACTAGCATCCAGCGAGGACATAACGGTATCTCAGGCGGGACTAAGACGGCAGTATTTGGATCACATTCACTGCCCTCACTCTGAGAGAGGCATACTGGCAGATTTCAGTGGCTTTCACACGTTGATGGCTGGCTGTGTCCGCCGGCCTCCTTCCTCCCGCCTGAAACACCTCTGCTCTGACATCACAAGTGACATCAGGCATCCGAGGGGATCCCTGTAGCCGACATCAGATGAATTTCAAGGGCTTTGGTTGCTACCGAAGTCTGATAAACACAACTAATTTTCTTGATTCACTTGACCTAGAAATAAAATTGAAGACAGGCGGGAATTGGATTAAGTGAGAAAGATAATCTGTGAAACGTAATTACAAACACGTGCCTACTCACACCGCAATAAGATCTCACCCTTTTCCTGTGAAAATGCAGGTAGCTAGCGCTTTCTCCACGCTGGAGAAGCGCTGGAAAAAAAATGCGTCTTTGTTGACATTTACCAACAGCTTTGGATGTAAACTCGCTGAGATATGAAAAGTCTTGGCAACAAGGAGCAGATCACTCGCGGGCAATGATAACAGTACTTTAAGGACACACACAACCCATATTAATCAGAGGTCACAGGTCAAATCATGGCTTCCTGGTTGCAGCAATATGGCCTTTAGAGGTCCCACAGCGACAGACCTAATTTATGTCCCCACATCTTCCAAGAAGTAAAACCATTAAGCAGTTGCAAACACTGTGGCATAATGTGAGGTGCGAGTAAAGAGCTGAGCAGTCTTTAATCAATCCGGTGTTGTAGGCCATTAAATATTAGAACGCTGTAAAAACCCTTTTCGAGTTAAACGTTCAATATCAAAACGTACATCTCAAGCACATTATTTACTGATTTCAACAAACTGGCAGCAGTAGGCCAGCAGTAGGCATGTGGGGGGTGGGGCTGGGGGTGTAGGAGGAACGAGAAGAGAGGTCAAGCACCTACCTTTATGAAAACAGCAGGTGTGACAAAGTGACAACATGCAGACATCAAAGCCACCTAAACGTTCATTTGGCGCACAGAAGAGTCCCGGGCGCAAACTGAGAGCGACACACTGACATGACTGTTGTCGTCACGTCGTCGCGAAATGATTGACAGGCTCGGCATGATACTAGCCTCCCTGGTTCCGTTGTATTCCTGCCGTATAGCTTCCTAGCCTAGCCCCTGCGCGCGCAATTCACGATAAGGGGAGAAGCCACTCCGAATCCCGTTAAAAACATCTGGCTGTTTAAGGTTCCGTAACGACGAAGGGATACCCGCGCATACCCGTTTTGACAATACTTTAGAGCTTATACGGATTAGTACAGGTACATGGTTAAATTCGGCAGATGGATGACCCACTATACCGAATGTTTTTCAATGATAGCTCAGTTTTATAACTCCTCATTGTCTCCCATCATAGCGCATTGGGGATGGAATGCCGCTGATGGAATCTAAGGCAGAGCAATTATAGAAGTTAAAAATCCTATTTAAGTACTAATCAGCTGTTTGGAGTCACACGAAAAGCCCCCCTTCGAATAGCAGACATGGCCGCAGTGATAAGATCTCGTCTGGGGCTCCTGTCTCGACATAAACCTCTGCTCGAAAGCTAGGACTCATAAAACTGCCTAATTTGAACGTAGTTTGGCCTCTCTTCCAAGTCAGGGGCAACGGCACATAATGGTGCTAACGCTAGCCCGCCTAGCTCCATCGACAATCTTTAACCTTCAGCCGATGGGAGCGCGTCTGCAAACAGTGGCGACTCACCCACACACTCAAGTTACAGACCGACAAAATGAACACCGCCATCCTCGCACTCTTTCACTTTGCAGCGCCTCGCCCTGAAAGAGTTAGTGTCTCCCCTTATGTTCTTATCCCGGCGGAGGAGGCAGGGACGAGCCGGACCGGAGCGGCTTTGGCTGTTAAGTTGAGGCACCGCTGGAGATATTGACCGCAGAGCAGATGGGCTTCCCCGCCTCTGTTAGGCTCTTCTCGGACGAGCGCACGAGACGCGCAGTCAAATAAAAAATAGCAAAGCGCCGGGAAAAGAGCGAATTCCAGACGGTTATGTCGCTCTTACCTGTGAAATGCCTCGTTACGTCGCCTCCTGGGCCCCCTGCGCTCATCCCCGCCGCTGCTCCAGACGGACTGAGCTGGAATCTGCTGAGGGAAAAACAGCAGCGAGGAGAAATCCCTCTTTTCCAGCGGGGAGGCAGCTGGATGCTGCTCAGCAATAGGGACACTCCAACACAGTGTGGCCTCGTCTTACAGACTCCGTCTTTATATATCACTGGTCGTTAGTATAGGCAGACTACATTCAGTTATTAAATCATTCACCTACTCTAATTATGGCTCTAATCAAAAGGATGGATGCCCGCTTATATATCTTATCTTATTATATTATATCATTGCTAATAACAATGTGAGATAACCATCACCTCCACACACCTCTAATCATATATTTCTTTATGTTAAATACGTATTTATGTATGGCATACGTACATGTCACATATTATTTTGTATTTGATAACCTATATAATATGTTTACATGCAGAACTAGAATAAATCTGCAGTGATTTAAAAATTGATGATCATTGAAATTATTTTTAAAGCAAATGTTCTCTTGGCCCAGGTTGTTGAAAATAAACTCCAATACACATATTTGCTGGAATTTCCACCACATGACCACTTCTGCAGAGGAAAAATCATGCTTTTGTATTTCAACAAACTTGTCCATTTTTTTGTTTTGTTCTGCAATGAGGTTTGTCAAAAGCCTGCTTTACACCCATCTGGCTGTGGGCCATCAAATCTTAAAGTTGTACTCCCTCACCACCTCTTACAAAGGAATGGACCCTAAAGCCTCAATAATATTGACACAGATGTTGCATACAACTGAATTCCCTTGGAACTTCAGGGAGGCTGTTAGGCTTCTGTCAGCCCTTGCTCGTTTTACTCCCACAGTGGGGTTCGTTTCAGACCTGCTTAGTGTCGGACCACTGAAATACATCTTTGCCTGATCACAGCTGGCAAATGTGTCCTGTTGGCAAGAGCTACAATGATAATAACCATGTTTACATTAAGTCAGTTTAACTTTCAAATTCAAATTACAGAACTGCATTCATATTGTACAGGTGAGCCACTTTTGGAAATTGCATGACGATTTACCCTATTTTATAATGATTTTATGGGCCGGAATAAGTGCTGCCCCACGCGGTTAACTTAGAATTTAAGTTAAGTTATAAGGTTTTGTAAGTTTGAATTTGACAAGTTCATTAAATATAATGTATATTTTTGTCAACCAATTAAAAGGTGATTTAATCAACATGATCGACACAACCATCCCCAAAAGAAAGAACCCGGAACTTAAATTTTCTTGGAAATAATTAACTCAACATGAAAAAAATCATTAAAAAAGCTGCTGATCAATTATGTCAAGTTGGTAACTGAAATCAGCACCAGAACATGCTTACTCTTTGAATCTGGGCTACTGCAAGTTGATCATATTTACATTAAGTCAACTTAATTTTCAAATTACCTATAGTTGAGTATCTCTTTTTCTGTAAAACCAGTTACTGTTCCAGTTAAATATCTCGAGACCGTTAGTATACGGAGAAAAAACATGATGACAAAAGGAGAAGAAGGGAGAGGAATCTGTTGGGAACAACATGAGATACTCTAACTGCTGTGTTTGCGGTAGCCCTGCGTTTCACTGCCATCTCCTCCATCCATCCATCCATTGTCAAACCGCTTATCCTGCACACAGGGTCGCGGGAGGGCTGGAGTTCATCCCAGCCAACTTCGGGCGATAGACAGGGTACATCCTGGATTGGTCGCCAGCCAATCGCAGGGCTACACAGTGGGGATCAGGCTAATTGGGGGACTTTAAATTGCCCGTAGATGTGTGAATGTAGTGTGAATGGTTGTATGTCTCTGCCATCTCCTCAGTGTTCCCAAAGATCAACACTTCTGCTGCTCCCTGATCTTGCGGAGTGCACACCCCGAACTGGCCTTTTCAATTGTGCAGCGCGCTGAAAGGAGTCAAGCAGACCAAGCACAGGAGGCGGATCCCCAAGTTTAGATTGGGGTGATAGAGGGTATATTATTCCTTGCAGGTGCTGCAGCCACTAGGCACGTGGCATTGGTCACACCTTCAGCCCATAAACTAATTGGAGGGGAGGAGGATATATCCACGGAGCTGAGCCGCTGCAGCGGTGGAGGACAGACGCATGCAGAGCAACTGTGAAGCGGTAACAACCTGGGCTCACCGCTCACCGCTGTCCCCAAACAGGACAGAGGAAGCGGTTACCCTAGTGTCACTGACCCAGAGCGGGAGGACCCTCTTTTTTGAAAGTTGGCCTAAGAGCCTGACCTTGTTATTAAAAGGACCCTTTTCGTTATATGATTGCTGTCTACAAGCCTCCTCTTTATCCCTAAATCTGGCCTCACTTCCCCTGGGTTGCCACAATGTATATGTATATATACATATATATGTAGGCCTTTGAGCAACTCTACAGCCACAACAGTTTGCATATAGGTTGGTCCCTGCATCTTGACAAGATTAGTCCGGCACACAACCTCCCACAAAACCACAACTTGACCAAAAATTAATTAATTAGCTGGTGATTGCTGGTAAGTGGATTTTGCCACTCTCAGACATCTATTTCTGATGTTTATCCTAAGCTAAGTGTCTCCAAACATTTAAAAAACATATATGACAGTGCCTCTTCTCATTTATGTCATTAAGCAAATAAATATATATGAAAATGAAACTGCTTTTTTGATCATATATTTGGTTAAAGATTTAAAGAGAGTTAATTGTTTAGTCTGAAAACAAAGCTAAGATGTTATATATGTATATTTATATACAGTTTTATTACATTGTATTTTAATGATTGTTAAGAAAGTTACATATTAAATACATTTGGATTGTTTTCTAAGATATAATGTCAGCGCTATTATATTCTCCAATTATTATCTCAATAAACTTTAATATACTGTTAGAACCAAGGAAAAAATGGAAACATGTAGTATTTGACTTAATAGTCTAATAACAAGCAGTCAAATTTAAACATATTGATCTTAAAAAATGCTGGTGGGATTCTGCTAAAAATCCTAAATTACAGGAAAAATGAAAGCAGAGAGCAACTGTAATCCATGTTTGAAAAGACTGCATGTCCCCACCATTATGTCCCATCAGTGTCCATGGGCATTGTGTAACTTCCACTGAGGTGAGGCTGACATCGAAGGCGGCTGTGGAACGAGGCATGCTACAGTAGCTTTAAATAGATCAGCAAGTAATGGGCTTTGGAAGGCTGTAATTGAAGTGATCCTAGAGCTTGGCATGGACAGATTACCATCAGGGTGGCTACGGTGCCACCTGGCAAACACGATCCTATCTGATCCTCGCTCTGATTTATGGCCACCGATCTTTAAAGACAAATAACCGACAATTATCTAATCTTTACCTGGCAACAAAGAAGAAAACCTGCCAGGCCGTTTTTAAAGATGGGTTTTTGAAACCATTTCCAGACGGATTTCAGTTTACGTCATGTTGGATGGCTCGCTCTCAAATAGGAGGCCAAAGAATGATTTTATGCTGCTTCTTTTCTATCTGGCTGATTAAAAGAATTGGATGCTTTTTTTTCAAACAGAAATGTACTAAACTTGACTGACTCTGACATCTTGACTGACTCTGACATCCCTCTCCACCGGTCACTCCCTTCACACTCCACATGCACAAACACTTTCTGTTCGCTATTGCACTTTATTTGTAACTTTTTTTTTAAACTTGATTTTGAATTTAAATTCTCTTGCCATTCTTGCATGTTGTCTTATCTGTCTTGTTGTCCATTATCTTACTGTCATGTTATGCACCAACAGCCAAGTCAAATTCCTTGTATGTCTAACATATTTAGGTAATAAATGTTTCTGATTCTGATTGTGAACTGTGCATTTGTTGGTCTTGTGGACCAAAATTGCCCATTCCCATCAGAATCCATCTGCAGACCTGCAATTAAGATTATTTTAGGATCACCAGAGTATCCAGTGGTCACTGCATCATCTGAATCTATCTCACGGAGCCACAGGAGCTGCCCTGAAACCCAAACAATTGCACCAAAGTGTAACATAAACACAAACACTGATTCTGTGCTGCCTTCCTCAATCCATCAAAGTCATCTCAGATGTAATTGTAAATCAAAAGCAGGAAACTATTGTCAACATTTGGGGAGTTGCGGTCCTTGTTTACTACTCTGTAACACGGTGCGCTGACTGCAATAAAGCGGCTGCGTGCTAAAGCCGTCTGAAAACCAACTGTGTAAACTGAAATTATTGCTTTTCAAACACGCTGAGAAAAAGTGAGCTCCAAATGTGTGTCCCAACACTGGTTATCTAATCTACCCAGTCTCTTCCTAAAGACATCTTTTTTTCCTGGGCTGTGTCCCACAGCAACAAGTCTGCAACTACAGGGGATATAATTAGTTTTTTAGTGAAAAGGCAATGATTTTAAAGGTAATTGGAAACACATTCAGTCCCATGCTCACACAGACACACACACAAACGCGCACACAGAAGTAGTGATTCTTCTCAAATATGATTTTAAAGCCTCTTCCCACATAACACAGGCCTGATCAAATCAGCTCTGCACCAAGCAAGCAAATAAAACAGCCGTAACTCAGGACAGATGTGGGGAGGGCCGGACTGTATGAGGTCTGAGCCTCCCTAGTATCACACCACCCACAGGCATCCACTCAAAAGATCTG